TACTGTTTTTTTTTTTAAGTTTTTATTTTAATTCCAGTTAGTTAACATACAATGTTATATTAGTTTCAGGTGTACAATATAGTGATTCAGCACTTCCATACGTCACTCTGTGCTAATCACAAGTAGACCCCTTAATCCCCATCACCTGTTTAACCCATCCTCTCACCATCCTATTGGGTTTTTTTATTATGTTATGTTAATCACCATACATTACATCATTAGTTTTTGATGTAGTGTTCCATGAGTCATTATTTGCATATAACACCCAGTGCTCCATGCAGAACGTGCCCTCTTTAATACCCATCACCAGGCTAACCCATCCTCCCACCACCCTCCCCCTAGAACCCTCAGTTTGTTTTTCAGAGTCCATCGTCTCTCATGGTTCATCTCCCCCTCTGATTTCCCCCCCTTCATTCTTCCCCTCCTGCTATCTTCTTCTTCTTCTTCTTTTTTTTAACATATAATGTATTATTTGTTTCAGAGGTACAGATCTGTGATTCAACAGTCTTGCACAATTCACAGCGCTCACCACAGCACATACTCTCCCCAGTGTCTATCACCCAGCTGCCCCATCCCTCCCACCCCCCACCACTCCAGCAACCCTCAGTTTGTTTCCTGAGATTGAGAATTCCTAATAACAGTGAGGTCATCTTATTGGTTTTGATAGTGATCTGATGTGTTTTTTTGTTTTGCTTTGTTTTTTGTTTTTTACCAATCCTGAGAACAAAATCTGGTACAGTTTAGTCTAAATAACTTATGATGTTTTAATAGCAGGAAATCCTGTTGCTGAATTTGTTAATATCATCTACTTCTACTAGGATTTTAATAGTAATTTTGCTCTTGTAAACTTAAGGTCAAGAGTATTATTTGGGAATGTGTATGCAAAACCAAATTTGGAAGTAAATGAACTACAGCAAACTTTTAACAGAAATGCAACTTGAGAATTTAGAAATTTATCATTTTAATGATGCAAGAAATAAGCATTTCTCCTAAGAAGCCACCTGTAACACATTAAGTATAAATCATAGTTTCTCAAGTGCTGTTTTGGGACTTTTATGTTGCAATTCCAGATACATAAGTTAAGTTGATTAAGCAAGGGTATTGTTGCATTTGGGGTGAGCAAAAAAAAATGATGAAAGACAGGGCTTAAAATAATTTGGGGGAGAAACACTTTGGAATTTACACTTGATGTAGAGCAAATGTAGGGGGAAATAATAAAGTAATTAAGAATTTAATGTATAAATATCTACATAGCAGAGGATCATTAATTTACTGATCTTACTAGATTATTTTACAATTGTGGCATGAACAGATTCCCTTTTATTTAAAAATATAACAAAACAGCACCAAAAGTTGTAAATTAGAAGAAAAATTATATTTTTTAACATTAATTGCACCATATGAAATAAAGATTGCAACTTTCATCCTAGGGCCTCTTAAAACTTACTAAAAATCCTCATTATATTTCAACATTTATAATGCTTACAAAGTATCAGTTACTACTCTAAGCATTTTATAAATATGATGTCATTAAATCCTTATAATAAAGACATGAAGTAGGTACTATTATTCTCATTTTACAAATAAGGAAACAAATTGCTTTTGTCTGGGTAAAGCCTACAACATATTAAAGTTAAGTAACTTGCCCCAGCTCACCAACATAGTAAATGGCAGAACCAGACTTGAACCCAGACAATTGCTCCAAAGACTATCATTTTATTCACTATATGCTATGCTGCTTCCCCAATGCCTAATATTTAATATTCAGAAGATTAACTAGTATCAAGTGTAGAACTAAACTAAAATGGAGTCACTTATGTCAAGGACAAAATGGGAAGGGTCAATGCAGGTGCATAAAACAAACAACCTAACCTTATAGGAATTTACAGCTCTTCTTGGAAATCAGCAGAGGACAACAGCCAATCTCCAAACTCCAAGTCTGTTTATACCATCTCTGGACTTCCTTGTTCCCCTGACTCAACTAACCTGATCCAAATAAGAAAGCCACTAGCTAATGAATCGTTGAACACTACATCAAAAACTAATGATATACTATATGTTGGCTAATTGAACATAATAAATAAATTTTAAAAAGAAAAAAAAGAAAAATACTAGCCAACCAATCGGCTGAAAAAGCCAAATAATTTCTGCATTTATCTCATAAAAATCTCTTAGTCTGTGAGCAACTTTGAATTCATTGCTTCTGTATCCTTGAGTTCCTGGCTTGCAGGTCAAAAGCCTTGAAATGAACTTATCTTTATGCTTTGTTTTATTCAGTAGGCAGAGTTTGGCTTTTGACACAGGAAATAATAATGTATTTTGAAATTTTTTAATTGAATGAAATATTGAAGAATATAAAACCTAAGGGCATTTCATTCTACTAAAACTCCCCATAAATATTTGAATTCCTCAAGATCTTCAACAAATTAAAATAGAGATTTTATGTGAACACCTTCAGTGAGAGAGAACTCATATTGAGTTAGACAATTTTATTTTCAGAAATCAATTTTTTCCTGAAATCTACCTCCTTAGAACTTTTATCCTATTTCTATCCTATTTTCTAAAGCCACATGAAATTAACCTCAGTTTTTTCACAGTGTTACTTTTCAAATAGGTGAAGAAACTGTGTTCTAAAATGTGTTCCTCATTTGTACTTTTTCTCCTCTGGATCTGCTCCAATCTGCCTTGTATCTTTTAAAGTATACCATTCCTAAACTGATTTCATAGTCAAGGAGTTTTTTGACTGTAAGAGAATAGCAACATTACCATTCATTCTAAATCCTGTTGCTATAGATGAATACTTATTATTTATTTATTTATTTATTTATTTATTAATTTATTTATTTATTTATTTATTTATTTTAATTTTATTTATTTTATTAGTATGCTCCATGCCCAGCATGGAGCTCAATGCAGGCTTGAAGTCACAACCCTGAGATCAATACCTCAGCTGAGATTAAGAACCAGCTGCTTAACTGAGTCACCCAGGTGCCCCATATTTTTATTTATTTACATAATCTCTATGCCCAATGTGGGGCTCAAACTCATGACCCCGAGAACAAGAGTCACATGATCTAATGACTGAGCCAGCCAGGAGCCCTGACTTTTTTTGACAGCAAAAATTTACAGACTTGCATCAAGTTTATCATAAAATAAAGCCTATAGGATTTTTTCACATATATGGTACATCTAGCAAACATAATTTACTTGTGCAATTCATTTTTGAGCATAAATTTAAATTTAGCCTTATGAAATGGAATCTTACTGAAGATCAGTCTATCATTCCAATCCATTGAGATCTTTTAAAATCCCAATCGTCTTATTTAACAAATTAGCTATCACTTCTCATTTTTCTCCATCGATCTTCATTGGGATGCTATCAATATTTATCCAAGATAGTCATTTAAATACCAAACATGAAAGAAACAAAGCCCTACTACTGACTTTTAAAAAAATTATTTACTGGGCGCCTGGGTGGCTCAGTTGGTTAAGCGACTGCCTTCGGCTCAGGTCATGATCCTGGAGTCCCGGGATCGAGTCCCACATCGGGCTCCCTGCTCAGCAGGGAGTCTGCTTCTCCCTCTGACCTTCCTCCTTCTCATGCTCTCTGTCTCTCATTCTCTCTCTCTCTCTCAAATAAATAAATAAAATCTTTAAAAAAAATAAATAAAAAAAATTATTTACTGGGGTGCCTGGGTGGCTCAGTCATTAAGCACCTGCCTTCGTCCTGGGATTGGGCCCCGTGTTGGACTCCCTGCTCTGCGGGAGGCCTGCTTCTCCATCTCCCACTCCCTCTGCTTGTGTTCCCTCTCTTGCTGTGTCTCTCTCTGTCAAATAAATAAATAAAATATTTAAAAAATAAATAAAATTATTTATTAAATGAACTGTTTACTTTGTAACAGTTTAAGATGTATGAAATTATTACAAAGATAGTACAGAGACATATATCCCATATCCAGTTTTCCTATTATTAACATCTTACATTGTTAGTATGATATATTGTCAAAATTAATGAAACAATATTGATACATTACTATTAAGTAAAATCCATAGTTTATTCAGATTTCCCCCATTTTCCCCTAATGTCCTTTTCTGTTCCAGGATCTCATCCAGGACATCACATTATATTTAGTACTCATGTATCTTTAGGCTATCCTCAGCTGTGACAATTTCTCAGACTTTGTTTGTTTGGTTTTTGTTAATATAATTTCTTTTTTTTAATTATGTTCAATTAGCCAACATATAATACATCATTAGTTTTTGATGTAGTGTTTAACGAGACTTTGTTTTTAATGACCTTGACAGTTCTGAGGAATACTGGCCAGGTATTTCTGTGAAATTTACCTGATGTTTTTGGCATGAATAGACTGAAGTTATGGGTTTTGGGGAGGAAGACCACAGAGGTAAAATACCATCTCATCAAACCTTATCAATATGACTACTATCAATACTATCAGTATGACTTATCATTGTTGATGTTAGCTTTAGTCACTTGGCTTGAGCTAGTGTTTGCCAGGATTCTCCACTATAAAATCACACATTCTCTATTTCTCTCTCTTTTAAAGATTTTATTTATTTATTTGTCAGAGAGAGAGAGTGCACAAGCAGGAAGAGCGGCAGGCAGAGGGAGAAGCTGGCTCCCTGAGAACAAGGAGCCCAATGCGGGACTTGATCCCCAGGACCCTGGGATCATGACTGGAGCCGAAGGCAGACGCTCAACCAACTGAGTCACCCAGGCGTCCCTCACCTTCCCTCTTTAAAAAAAAAAAGTCTAGGGGCATCTGCCCCTAGATACCCTCCCCAATGTCCATCTCCCCTCCAGCAGCCTTCAGTTTGTTTCCTAAGATTAAGAGTCTCTTATGGTTTGTCTCCCTCTCTGATGTCATCTTGTTTCATTTTTTCCTCTCTTCCCCTATGATCTTCTGCCTTGTTTCTTAAATTGCACATATGAGTGAGATGATATGATAATTGTCTTTCTCTGATTGACTTATTTTGCTTAGGATTACCCTCTAGGTCCATCCACATCGTTGCAAATGGCAAGATTTCATTTTTTAATGGCTGCGTAATATTCCATTGTATATATACACCACATCTTTATCCATTCATCTGTTGATCTGGGCTCTTTCCAGCTTCATCCCTTTAAAAGTAGATCATCTATGTAAGTTATTTGGAATCGTGCATGCAATACTTGTCTATTCTCTCTCATGTATTCATTTATTTATACCAGTATGGGCTTAAGGATGTTTATTTTAGACTTTGAGTTATAATCCAATGCTAATTCATTTATTTTGTTGTTCAACTTTTTCCAGCTTTGGCTTTTTTTAAAAGATTTTATTTATTTACTTGACAGAGAGAGAGAGAGCACAGCAAGGGGATCAGCAGAGGGAGAACGAGAAGCAGGCTCTCCGCTGAGCAGGAAACCCAATGCGAGGCTGATCCCAGAGCCCTGAGATCATGACCTGAGCCAAAGGCAGACCCTTAACTGACTGAGCCACCCAGGCGCCCCTCCAGCTTTGGCTTTTGTGAGCTCTTTCAGAGGACTACGTAAGCCCTTCAACATATCCCCCTCATTATGGGTGAGTGTTTGAGCACTTTCTTATTTTCTGGCACTACTCTTTTTTTTTTTTTTTTTTAAGTAGGCTCTATACCCAACATGGAGCTCAAACTCCCGACTCTGAGATCAAGAGTTGCACAATCCACTGACTGAGCCAGCCAGGTGCCCCTCTGGCACTACTTTCTCTGGCTCAGACCGTGTACCTCTCACCCCAGTTATAGAATTAGCCATCTCTCTAGGGCTTATCATTAGTTTTTTAATGACCGAAAGACTTCCTCAAGTTTAAAACACACCTATAACTCTTACTTCCTGAGTATTGTTTTTAATATAGTTAAGTACTCATTTTACTGCTTAATTATCAAGTCAACATGGCTATGTTGTCCACTAAATGTTGCCAAAAGCGATTGGGTCCAGAGAGTGTGTGAGCTGAAATCTAGACACAAAATATAATGGTTTCCTTATTCTAATAAAGATCTATTAACACTTTCTAATGACATTGTCCAAAGAAGAGAAGAGGTTTAGTTGATATGACTTCTTATTGAACACAGACTATATGCAAGTATGACTGAAAAGGATTTTTTTTTTTAAGATTTTATTTATTTGAGAGAGAAAGAGAGAGCACAAACTGGGGAGGGGGCAAAGGGAGAGGGACAAACAGACTCCCCACTGAGCAGAGAGCCTGATGTGGGGCTCAATCCCAGAACTCTGGGATCATGACCTGAGCTGAAGGCAGATGGTTAACCAACTGAGCCACCCAGGCTGAAAAGGATTTAAAGAATGAAGCATCACAACCTGAAAATAAGTCTAATTAAGTAAAGCTATTAAAGATGCAAATAAAATCCTAGCATCCAGAAAGGAAGGGCAATATGTAGCAAACTATTCATAATTATCCCTCTTTATCCTGGGTGGATACTTATTAGACTGATTGTGAGCCAACAATAAGTTGTATAACCTCAGAAAGACAGAGCTTTTAGAGAAGACTTACAGAATACTCATGAAAATGATGAAAGTGTTGGAAAATAGGAATTAATAGTAAAGGTTAAGGAAAACTATATTACTTTAGAGAAAAGACATATACAGGATTATTTAACAGTGCTCCTAAAGATTAAGGCACCTCTTTCAGTGCCTAAAAGAGATTTAGATATTACTGAAATAATTAAAAATAATCTGATACTGTGCATTTTTGTGGAGAGCTGAGGATCCCCTTTTGAGACTCCAACCCATGAATCTCTCTAGAGATCAAATTCAGGATGCAATTAATTTAATCACTTGGAAGCCGAGTCCAAAAATAAAACAAATCTAAAACCAACTTGTTGTTGGCATAATATGCCTTTCTAATAATAGCTAAAGGACTAAAACACCTGCACATAGATAGTTTTATGGTCAATTGTTTAATTTCCAGTTTCAGTGTATGCTACATAGGTATCTTGTATTTTGGAAAGTTTTAATGCAAGAACATGTAGGTTTGTGATAGTCATAGCCAATGCAAAAGACAAAATTACAAAATCAAAAATACTAACTTCGAAAGAGGCAAAAATATTATTATTCACAGATAAAATGATTGAATATGTAGATAATCTAAGAGAATCAATTGAAGACTTTTAGAAATGTGAGAATCTTTACTAAGTAGTTGGTTACATAATATGCAAAAATTGAAAGTTTTACTATATATGATAAAAACATTACATTGACAACTATCACCAAAAAAAACAATCTGAAGGATGTCTAGTTATGAACTTGCTAAGAAACATGCAAGACTTATACTGAAAAGCATAAACATGATGGACATAAAGGAAACAAATTAAATAGAAAAAATATATATGTATAGAAAATGCTATCTCTCCCCTTATCAATTTGTATACTTAATACATTAACAATCAAAATAAACATTTTTTGGAACATAATACCTTCAGAAATTCTTCTGAAAAAATTAATATTGAAAGGTCTGCTTCCAGCAAAATGTTGGACTACATACTCTGAAGGGCTTTCCTACTACTGTGTAATGATATCCTGGATAAAATACAACAAGCATATTTTTTTAAAGCTTTGCTGGACATTCAATAAAGTGAAGGAAATTTCCAAGAGCCAAAATAAAGACACAGTGATGTGAAACCTGAATTGTGAGGGGTTAGTAAATTCTGAAGTGGAGGTTCCATTGGAGTTAGATGCCAATACCAACACTAATATTGGGAGGCAGAATGTAGGTCTTGCCTCGAAGAAAAAGAGCTGAATTTGAGACTCAAATAATTAACTGGAGTTCATGAGCAGAGCTAAAATAGTTCCATATTTATACCACCCTTGCTTCTAATAATTTAGAAGCAAGCATAAATCCTCTTTGAAGGAAAGCAATCACATTTAGACCTTCATGATTCTATATATTGAATTTAATAAATTGTGTGAACTCACAATACCAAACACATAAGGAAACAAGTTACCATGAGTAAGAGTCAGCAAAATGATAACAAATTTAGACCTCCAAAAACTTCATAAATTAGAGGATCAGATAAAGAATACAAAAATTAAATTATTAGCATGATATTTTAAAATTATCAATAAATAAGAAACTATCAAAATGATCAGGCAAATTTGAAAGTAAATAAAGCTTCTAGAAATGAAAAGTAAAATAAAAGAAGTTTTAAAAAATCAGTTTATGAGTTAACAGATTAGCTACAGAAAACTGGATAAGAGATATAAAATAGAAAGTAGATGACTATAAGGCAATTTCCAATAATAAGGCACAAAAAGATTAAAAAAGAAAACAGAAAAAAGAATTTAAGAGCTAACATATGTCTAAGACAATTTCAAGAAAGAATACAGGAGATGTAGTATTCCAAGAGATTATAGCTTGGAGTTTTCCAGAATTGAAAATAATACACGAATATACAGATCTAACAACCATAGCATGTACCATGCAGGATAATAAACAACCAACAACAAAAAAAACCCAAAACCAAAAAAATCCACTCCTAGATATACTGCTGACAAATTTAAAAAGCAACATAGAGGAGGAAGATATACCTTAACAGTAGCCAAAAAAAGGACAGGTCACTTATAAAGGAATAATACATGGAGAAGAGAAGCCTCTTAGAAGCAATCAAGGAAGCAGAAAAAATGGAGTATCTTCAAAGTGCTTGGGAAAAAACCCACCTAAAATTGTACAGCAAAATTATATTTCAATAATGATTTTTTTAAAAAAATGCTTTTAGAGTAAAAAAATATATGAGAGATTACTACCAAGAAACCTAAACTAAAAATCTTCTAAAGGATTAATTTTAGGAATAAACAAAATGAGCCTGGCAGAGTAGTCTACAATACATAAAGAAATAGTGAATATATATAAACAAGTAGAGAAATCTAAACAAAAATTGCCTATTAGCCACAATAACAACAAAAATAATACTTTGTGTTGTTAAAAATACAGAATTAAGAGGAAAGGACTTCTAGCTGAGGCAGAATGAAAACTTTGACAAGTCCTTTCACCTCAAAACAACTATAAAAATGGACAAAATTGCTAAAAAAACAATTTTCACAGTTCTGGAAATAGGCCAGAGGGAAGCAACAAATTGAAAAGTGTTTGTGAAGAACCACTGAGTAGTTGCAGTATGTGGAGTTCTTGCTTGGGGCTGCTTGCATCCACACACAAATAGGAAAATATGATCCATACTCAGGAAAAGTGCAATCAATGGAAACTGAATCTAGGTGGGCCATGATGTTGGGTTTAGCATAAAATGACCTCAAAGCAGTTATTATAAATAAGTTCAAAGAATTAAAGGAAACCATGTTTAAAGGTTAAAGAAAAATATGATGATAATGAAGGAACAAATATAGAACATCAATATAAATAGAAATGATTAAAAAGATGCAAATTTTAGAGTTTGTAGATTTTATTTTAGAAATGTAAAATAATTAGAATGAAAAATTCACCCTAACCCTAACCCTTCAACTGCAATTTCAGTGCCAAAAAATTAAAAAAAAAAAAAAGAATCAGTGAACTTGAAGCTAGATCAATAGCAATAATCCAAATTTAAAAGCACAGAGTAAAATTACTAAATAAAGATTAGCAGAGCCTCGGAAACCTGTGGAACAAAATTAAGTGTACCAACATACATGTAGTGAAAGTCTTGGAAGAAGAGAAGAGGGAAGAGGGGGCAGAAAAGTTATTTGAAGAATAATGGCTGAAACCTTTGTAAATATGATTAAACAAAGAAAACATTAATTTAGATATTCAAGGAGGTCAAAAAACTACAGGGACTAAGAGAAATCTTGAAAGTAGCAAGAGGAAAAAGATTCATCAAGTATAGAGAAACAACAATATGACTAACAGCTGACTTCTCATCAACAATGATGGAGGACAATAGGCAGTGGAATGACATATTCAAAGTGCTGGGAGAAAAAAAATGTTATCACCAAATAATTATATAATAAAAATTCAGGAAAAGTAAAGGTATTCCCATATTAAACAAGACTGAAAGAATTTACTCCTAGTAGACATTCCCTATAACAGATACTAAGGAAGTCCTTCAGGCTGGAAGGAAATGATACGGGACATTAACTTAAATCCACTGCTAGAACTGGTAAATATATGGGTAAATATAAAAACCTGTATAAATATCTATAGTTCTCTTTTCATTTCTTAATTTCTTTAAGAGACAAGATTGTATGAAGCAACAATCATAACATTATATTGTTGAATTTATAACATATATAGATACGTATGACAGTAGTAGCACCAAAGATGTAGCTATAATAGTTTACTGGAATCGAGTCAGTATTAACCTTAAGCAGATAGTCATGAATTAAGATGCATATTGTAATCCCTAGAACAAATATTATGAAAATAAGCACAAAATATTCAGTTAAAAAGATAATCAGAGGAATTGCAATGGTACACTAAAATGTATTTGTTGGAAACAAGAATGCAATAAAGAAAAAATATACATTAGACATTTGGAAAACACATAGCAAAATAGTGGATGTAAATCTAACCATATCATAATTAATTAAATGTGAATGGGCTAAACA